AACATTTCCACTTGTGCTCTTGTTTACAATGTTTGATGCCAGCAGCCATAAAGTTACGAGGCGCTCTGTCTGGGTCTTTAATGGTTGGGAAGTATGAAGAGCTGAACTGAAGTAAATTGAAGAGACTCAGGCTAAAAAAGCGGGGAGGGGGAGGAAAACTCTTTTTAACTTGGGTCCAGTAGAAGAAGATAAAGGTAAGGCAGGGCAGTTAACATCTCGGCACTACGATCAGATGACCAAGAGTTGATGAAAACTGAGTGAACAAATTTTTCAAACAGAAAGCAGGCTTTTTTTGCACTGATATCTTGTCATGTGAAATTAAAAAAAGCAAGTATTACCTCTTTTTGCTGATTAGAGACTGTTCAGATGGTTTGGGCTGTGATATTTTTTTAAAATATGTTTTTCTCTAATACCTGTGAGACTGATGTCTAAATGCTGTGTAACTGGAGGTCCTCCCGTCCTTCGCAGGCTTTGGGTCAGAACGTGCTGAAAGCTTGGTCTGGGCATCTCTGAACCAGAGACTTGCTGTGCAGAAGGAGGCAGCTGACAGAGCTGCGGTAGCAAACGGACTTGCCTGTGATAATTTCCTGGTGCTAACCAGCTTTCCATATTTGTGTGCGCAGAGAAAATATCCCTGACCACAGTCTGAGTTCAAGAGAGAAAGCAAAAGGAGGACTTCACTTCTCTGGTCTGTCCAGTCTTCACCTTTAGCCCCTTTATGTATGTCTGCACAAAGCGTGGAGTTTTATCGCATCTCTTACAAACTCGTATCATGTCTGCAGACAGGTTAAAAATGTGAAAGTCACAGTAGCAGTAACTTACCCATTGCTACTTTGTTGCTATTTTTTCTGATTTTTAGGTGCCTCTGTACTTTGGAAATTACACACGCTGCTTCAAGGCCTTTTTCGGTTGAACTTGAAATAAAAAAGAATTAAGGGTTGATTTTTTTTTTTATATCAAAGCCACTTAAAGTAATTCAACATCCACAGAGCAGCAATTCTATGGAAGAAATAAAACTCTTTTGGTAGGTTATTAAATACTGTCCGTTTTCACAGTTGATTAGTGCTATATTATGTAGTGCTGGTATTTGTTACTCTTGTGAGCAAAAATTCCCAGGGTTCAGCGCCAGCCTTTGGGCTGACACTGTCACCGCCACGGGGCAGTGGTCTGGTGTTAATATTCTGAAATGTAATGTTAGGCATGTGGGGAATTGTGTCATCTTCAAAACTAGTGGAATTGTTTTCTGTCTACAGTATCTTGGTTGGTTGTTTCTTTATTTTCAATTCATGAAGAGTCACCGTTGCTGTAGCTTGTAGGGCTACAAGGATGGTGAGGGGACTGGAACACCTCTCCTAGGAGGAGAGGCTGAGGGAGCTGGGCTTGTTCAGCCTGGAGAAGAGAAGGCTGAGAGGGGACCTAATAAATGCCTACAAATATCTGCAGGGTGGGTGTCAGGGGCTCTTTGCAGTGGTGCCCAGCGACAGGACAAGGGGCAATGGGCACAAACTGAAGCAGAGGAAGCTCCAGCTGAACCTGAGGAAGAACTTCTTTCCTCTGAGGGTGACGGAGCCCTGGCCCAGGCTGCCCAGGGAGGCTGTGGAGTCTCCTTCTCTGGAGATATTCCAGACCCACCTGGACACGGTCCTGTGCAGCCTGCTGTAGGTGACCCTGCTTGGGCAGGGGGTTGGCCTGGGTGACCCACAGAGGTCCCTTCCAACCCCGACCATTCTGTGATTCTGTGATTCTGTAATCTCCAACAGACTTTCTAGCAGTTTTGGTGCTGGGCAAATCCAATGACCAGTCGTCACTAAAATTTGTGAGATGAAAATAAGAAAGCTGTTATGTGGGCTTATGTTGTGTACGAATGATAGGTACAGCTGCTAAGAGATTCTTCCAGTGACTAGGAAAAGTGCATTAGGGTATTTGACTATTAAATATATCTCAAATTATTTACATGTAATATTATTGAATTTCATAAAGTAGCTGCGGTAATAATCCACCCCCAAAGAAAGAAATGTTCAAATACTTTAAATAATACTGTTTTTCACAGAAGACTTTCCCTTAAATAATTCATTCTCCCTGAACTCTTGAGAGGTATCTGAACATGCAAGATTAATTTCAGTTTACAGAGCAAGAGGCAGGGATCACAGATTCCCAGCTGCGAAGCAGTTCCTGGCAAGAGCTTTCTGAGCCCAGAAAGCAAGCTGATGTTAGCTTTCTTTCATTTATTCGTCTTTTCTAACCACTGCACAGCAGTTCTCTCTTCCAATTCCCTTCAGCTTCAGGTAGAACTACTAACACATACTGATGAGGTTTTAATGAAGTATTTTTATAGCTTGCTTTCTACATTTTAAGTGTCAGGCATTTTTTAATGTCATGGCATAATATTAAATCAATAGGACTTTACAGATGATACTTGATAATAGGATCTTACCTCACAGAGCTTAAAAGTTTTATTAGTGTTTATAGTATCGGTCTGAGGTATTTCACATAATATTTCCCTGGGCAACTGTTGGGAGAGATTTAAATGTTTAACATATGTGGCTGTGCGCACTAATATAACACATGATTTTACCATTACTATCTGTATGTCCTTTTTTTTTTTTTCTTTTATAATCATTTCCTTGCTTTTACAAAATGATGTTCCTTATGGAGAGGATCGCTGTGGGTGACAGGCTTTGCCTATGAAATCCCCCAGAGCCGGAGTCCTAGCTGAATGGGTGGCAAGGTCTAATAAATAAACCTTTCACCGTGTTTTTTTGTGCAGGGGGTGTGGGGGACAGGGGAGAAGCTCCCTGTGAACTCCTGCAGGGATGTTTCATCCGAGGTAAATGGCTCTTCACACCTGGCCATTTTACAGACATGCGAACGCCTCTCCTGGAAGTTTGTGTTTAACAGGGGCTGCTGCAGATGTGAAACTGTCAGGGGGCTTCAGTTTATGTTTCTAACAGAGATGAACGGAAGAAGGCAGAGGGGTTCAAACATAACTGCTCTGCTGGAACCAACGTGATGTTCTTTGCTTCGGTATTCTCTTCTTTTTTAACTGCTGTCCTGTATATTATTCTTTCCATGAAATAGGGATCCTTTTTTTTTTTTTTTTTTTTTTCCCCTGTCCTGTTTCCTATTTTAAAATCATTTAACTGCCTCGATCTGCTCAGTGAATATGCTATGCAGAATAATGCATAGCGGTCACCTCTTGGTAATGTCTGGTACGTGAAGAAGAGATTTCAGTCCATGTTTTAGGGTCAGGCATGGACACAGTTCACCTTTCACTCACAATAACACGCTGCTCTTGGAAGGTGACAAAGGTACCTAGGAACGTTTTTCCTTTATTAAACTGTGGTAACTGGAGAACAAGCTCCTGAATTAGCTTATCAACACTGACTACATGTTGATTCATAAATGACTGTGGGAGAATGCCTTTGGAAACTTTTGAAAACTTCAGCTGTGATTGACTCTGACAGACATCTTTGGCACCTGAAAATAAAGAGAAGACCTTTCATATTCTTGAAGTAGTGAATAGATGCAATTTTGAAAGGCTGTTTAGTGTGTTAGATATTCAGAGTTCGCTATGTGCTTTACCTAATTATCCCTCACGCTCCCCGTTTAAAGGATGGAGAAACTGAGGTTTGGAAAAGAAATAATTCACCTGAAACACAGAAGAAGCTCAAGATCCTTTGAGATCCATCAGTCTGGCTATTTTACATCCAGCTGGCTGACTTTATGTGTTGATTTCCACAAGAAGTATGGCACAAGTGCAGACTGATCTATGTGTGGTCAATCTGTGACAGTCGTTTGTCCAAGGTAACCTTTTCTTTGTGTTTCAGAGGCGGCCTTTCTCCATCAAGGTGATCCATACTGATTTGCTTCTTGCTCTTGTGGAATATAGTTGACTTGAGATGAGGACTTCTGGTTTTATTCTTTCTTTTTAATTCTGTTTTTCTAACCAACATGAGAAATGTTCAACAATTCAGACCTACACCTAGCGGAGTCCTGTTCCAAGTCATGAGGTTTCTTCTTTGTCGAGTGTTGTCTTTCTGAAAGAAATGAAGGCCTTTTGCAAAAGAAAAACTTCAACTGTTTGAGTTGTGAATACTAATCAGTGGTTTTGAGACATTTATTGGCAGGCAAACAAAGCAAAGAACTGAGTCTCTCTATCAAACTTTGTATTTTGGAATTTGTATGACCAGATCATAGTGAAACGTAACAGCCTTTTCATTCGTGGCAAATTAGTACAGTCTTGATAAATACAGAAGTAAACTAAGATATTATCTAGGAAGGGAATTGCTTGTGTATAAATAGCTGGCTGTGTGGTAGCTGAAATATAGGGTAGAGAAAGGGGCCCCGGTTTTTGCAAATATCTGCATTCCAGTGTCTCCTTCTTCTTTTACTTTCTTTAATGTATTTATTTTTTAACAACGCCATTGACTTCCTGCCTGGCATAGCAGGCTTTTCAAGCAATAGAGGTTTTAATCTGAAAAGCTCACCTTAAGACATAGTAATTTCAAGTAGCCACATTTAAGGTCCCTGTAAGGACCCTTATTCTCTTCAGAGCAGGCATCGTGTTACATACTACGCTTTTTAAAAGCAACACCACCACTGCCAAAGTGTCTCTACCCTTAGAGGCTTCTCACGTATCGTGTAGCCTTTTTGCTGTCAAATTCCATTGGCGAGCAAATAGTTCAGTTCCTGCTAGGGCTGATGTCACTGAACTGCGTGCGTTTAGGATGCGCGGTGCTATATTCACTTCATTTTTGAAACAGATAGGTAGATACATGTATAAAGAGAATGGATCAAAGGCATTTTTTTTCCTTAATAATTTGAGTGTCTCTTTCCTCTGTTTTAGTCAAATATACGAGAGTAGTTTATAAATTAGTTGAGCTGGAGCTGCCAGACTTGGCTGTATATCTGAGCAGTCTGGATGGGAAGCCGTTGCGACTGATATTGTCCTCAAGCAGCTGATCGTCAGAGCATTTCCTTCCCCTACCCAAACCAGCAAAATGACCACATCCAGCAGGCAGAGCTCTTCTACGTCTATGGTCAACAACTTGGCCAGAATATTTGATCCAAATGCTTTGCAAAACCAAGGGCCTGATAATGGAATGGAACCCCCCCAAATTCTTCGTGTTGCAGGCAGTGATGTCAGCACATCTGAAAGTTTTAACATCATGGATATGAAGTTTGCCTCCCTCGAACAGAAAATAGATAAGCTGTTCACTCTGCAAGACAATGTCCTTAAGAAGCTTAACAGTGTTTCCCAAGATGTCTGTTGCATTGAAAAAGACATGGAGATCGTAAAGGCAGAAACATCTGAACCTGGATCAAGGATGGAAAGAAATAAAGATCTGAGAAGCAGTGAAATGAAGAGGCTTTGCCTTAAAATGGAAAAATCTCTTTCTGATATAAACAGGAATGCAGAGCGGCAGGTTAAAAGACTAGATGGACTGGAACAAAGCGTTTCTGGAATACAGAAGCTCGTAGGGTCTCTGGTTGAGAAGGTTAAAACATTAGTAATTCATAATTCAAGTGTAAAACACCATGTTCAAAAACGTAAACTTTGCAAGGCAGGTGTTTATACAAAAGAAGCTGGACATCTCTTTAGGATGCACGTTTTCTCGGAGGCAACAGCTGAAGCCCTGCTCAAGAAGAAGAGTGACAAGGTGAGCCCAGGTTTGTGTTTCGTCTTATCAGGAATCTTTGCAAGCTACGGAGATGTTCTGCTATATGCTGAGCTTTTTCATTTCTTTAACATTTAAGAGAGAACAACCAATATGCTCTAAAAATGAGAAGTATTAGAACAAACTGAGCAAGTTTCAGTGGCAAAGATACCGAAAATCTGCTGAGTGATAAATACCTTCCTTTTTTTCTGATGATTTCTTTACAGTTGTAAAACATAACTAGGGGTCCCTGATATGGGTGACAAAGATTAACAGAGACTTCAGGAGGCTTGGGTCCTGGCTGTACATTTTGCTATGTTCTTCTCTGGGTTTATAATTATCTAGAAGAATCAGGTTGCAGCAGTCATGTTATATGCAGTGGGGTCTAGAGCTTAGCGAAACTGGTAAAAATCCTTCTTGGGTCAGGGCACGTACATGTGTATGTCCTTTATTTCAAAGAACAACTTAAGTGTGCTGTTCCAATCTGGTATTTCTGCTGACATTGGGAGGGGAGGGGGGGGTACTTCTAAACTGGGATCTGAGGTAGGGTTACTGTAACTGGAGCTGTGGCTTGTGTAAACTTCCTTGGGGGGAAAAATGCCTGTGTCACTGTAACGGGAGTTTCATCGTGTTCTTTACAGGTCGGATTAAAAGACCACAAAAATCTCTTGAATGGCTCAATTGATTATAACAGGCTCTTGTAAGGTAGTTTGACTATTCTTTTTTTTGGTGAAGAAGCCCAGTAGCTTTAGAAAATTAAGGATTTTTTTCTGACAAAGTGAGTTAATATTTAATTAACCTACAGTGAACCAAAAAGGTTGCCTTTCGTATTCTTTCCTGCTTTTTTTGTTTTGTCCAAAAAAGTCACATACAGGCTTTGCTTTTTGATACATTTAAAGAGTAATTCTTGAGTTGGTTTTTCTAAAGTTTTTTTGAGCAGGAAAAACATCGTGTGAAGGTGTTAATGGAAATGGCATTCTTTGAAAAAAGAAGCACCCAGTATTACTGGTCAGCAATCCAAGTGCTTTTCAGCTTAGTTGCTGTTAGGCAGCCCCGCTTCTCAGGTAGATGAGAAGTGTTTGAACCATTGCAGGAAGCTATAAAAACAGTGGTCAGTGCTGAGCAGCGGCAGAGGAGCATCTTGTAAAGCTCTGTCAGCTGAACTGGCTGATCGGCCACCGTGTAAGAGCATAAAATGTGCAGCCCTGTTCCCGGTTTTAACAGGCCCTTCTGGAACATCAGGTTGGACTGGTTTCAACAAAGGATTTTTAGGAAGAGAAAAGTTTTCTTCTTTTGTACCATGATTTTGATGAGAAAAGATTGCGTATTTTGAGCATCTGAGTTTAGGGCTTCTTTTACTTTTCAAAACCTCAATGAAAAGATCTGCTGTAAAAGCCCCCTCGTAGTGACGCTCACAGGTCATCTCTGTGTTGCTGCCATCACTGCAGTTTGTGCTAGAGCTCTACCTGTCTCGGTGAAATTACATATTCATCTAAACTGTTTATAAATATAAACTGAATCAGGCCTGGGATGTTAACGAACTGGCAGCAGCTCCTGGAGACCTGAGTAGGTGCGAGGCTCCCTGCGCTAGAAACGCAGGGTGAGAGAAAGGAGGGGACCGTGCGGGCGTTGCTGGTGGGTCTGTGGGAGCTGGTGGGTGTAGTGGAAGGGGCAGGTCAGCAGAGGAGGTCGTGCTCCCGGCAGGCAAGAGGAGAACCGGGATGGCGGAGACGCAGGTGTCCGGTGGAGAGTTCAGAGCTACAAAGCACCTGGAAGCAGAGGGTGGGGGGCTTAAATGTGGTGAAAACAGAGGCAGCCGACCACCAAAGACCTGGAGAGGGAAGGGGTGAGCGGAGTCGGTGTCTTTTTCCAACAGCAGCTCCATTTGTAAGCCCCCCACTGATTCATTTGTGTTTAGGCAGACTCTCGGCGATGCTGAGTGGATTTGGTAGGCGCTTGTCTAGCATGAGGGCTAAGGAAAGGCGGCATGAGCACGTCTGGAACCACGCTGGTGATATTACATTGTTAATATTTTGTTTGTTTTGTGAGATAGCATACATATGTTAGCTTGTCGTTACTTTCCTCTCTGTACGTTTGATTTATTATCAAGGACCATCATAAAATTATCAAGCTATCCTGTGAACAACAGCTGGCTTTAGTAAACACTTAGTCAGCTTGGGTTTAAGTAAAACCAGACTAGAATTCAGCCCGGCATTAAGAATAATAGAATATGGTATGATATCCTTCAGCAGAGACTGCTGAGCTTGGCTGTCAGTCAGTTAGACCCACCATTTACCAGCGTTGAGGACTCTCCTCTACCTGAGAGGGTAGGAGCAGCATCTCTGAGCAAGTTAGTGAAAAGAGTGGTGGTCCGTGAGACACTGTGATGCTGGTTGCTTGTGCCTCTGCCCGCCATGTATTCAAACTGGATTTACAAATGAGGTTTTAAATTACTGTGACAAAAGTAAAAAAAACCCCAAAGGAATAGAGAAATAGGGGATCTCATCCTTGCAGAGTTTTACACCTGAAATGTACCACTGATACCTGGTGGCATAGCAGTGAACAGACCTGCCTGATTATGCAGAAATCAATCCTTGGTTCTATTAACACAATCCTTATCACTGTCTCTAGTCCCCAGCTAATGACAATTTTGAACAATGCTGACCCTGCAGAAATGCTGGCCCCCAGGCAGCAAGGCCAACATCTCTTTTGTCCTAGGTGGACTCCATATGGCAACACTGAGCAACCCTGCAATCACTTTAGACATACACATCCCTATTCTGTTTCCTTATGGCTGTGGGCCAGGTAATCCATTCACTACAGTTAATCTGCTTTTCTCCACTGCTGGAGATGGTCAGATATTTTGGATGATGTGCCTGTTTGTCATCCACTCTGCCCCAGCTACAAGCAAATGCAACCTCGTAGTTCTAATGGCTGAACTGTCTGACAAATACTTGGGTGTCCCCAGCTTGGTTCTGCAAAATAATCCAATCATTCTTAATTACTAATAGGTGGTGCAGTAGGTGGCCATGGATACATCTGGATAAGGCAGTGGATTGTCTTTACATACTGCTTAATCACCTACCTTCCCATGCTTCCCTCTTCAGAGAGGTGCTGCTCTTTGCTTTATTAATTGTAGGATTGTTTTATAATTTTTCCTAACTGGCTTGTTTTACAGAACTGGATTAAGTCAAGAGCAGTGAAAAGGCAGAGCAAAAGTGAGGGAAGAGGGGGAATGGGAAAGAGGTAAAGAGGGGCTGATAAGCAGCTGGGGTGTGTAATCTCTCTTCTGGCTTCAGCAGCAGCTGGAACAGTTTCCAGTTCACAGGCTCCACAGGGACTTGTTGTGCGCTGCAAAATACAGGGATCGCTCTCCTCTGAAGCAAAATTTCTGCTTTCCTGCCTTTTACTGCCATCCTGAAATACCTCCGCTGCCTCATACAGGAGGTTAGTTCATTGCTGCTTTGGGTTGGGGTTACGATATTGTGTAGCCTGCAGACACTTCGTGCTTTGTCAGTGCTGCCAAATGTCTCCCAGCCGTTTTCCAGCGAGTGCAGCGTGACCCTATCACCACGCGGCTGAGAGGAGTAGCATGTATTACTTGTCATTTTAAGTTATTTTCTCACTACTACCGCCCAGGGAAATCAGCAGTTCTACAGTAACGGTCTTTAAGAGTCTTGAGGTTTTCCTCAAATTCACCTTTTTAAGTAGTCCGTGATAATCCTGTTGCAAAATGACCCTGTAACTCCATTTTCAGTCCGATTCCTTCCACTTATTAAAAAAGGGAGTAAAATAATACTTCACTTATTTCCTCCAAATTAAACAGTTTAGAGATTCTATACTATTAACCTGCAAATACTCACCTGGAGAGTCAGAAAATCCCTTTTGTTGCCATCGTAAAACGATGCTGAACTTGCTGCAGTTGCCTGCAGGTTGCTGTAACTTCAGTCTCCTGCCATCTCTGCAGGCTTTGCCACAGCACTAATAACTATTGGCAGTTTCAGGCTGTTCCCCACCCTGAAAACACCCCAGCAGTGGGAGCTGTGCTTTCTGGTTGAACCCTCCGTCCCTCCTGCGCAGGTATCGCGCCGCAGTTGTAGCTCACTGGCTGCTTTAGCAGGAGTCTGCAATGAAACTGCTGCTTGCCACGTGTGTTTTAAGATCCGTTCAGACTCATTTCTGTAACCATTCTTCTGACTCCTTCATTTGGCCTACAAACACTAACGGGTCCCTTATGCATTATTTAAATTCTCTCCAGATTGGCCGTGTTCTGCGAATTTTTAATATTCCAGCCAAATAGGCAGGAATTGTTGAACTTTTTTTTTTTTTTTTTTTCATCTGTCTGCAAGGCTTTCTGCTGTCCTCGGTGCTTTTGGGGGTAGAGGCTTTCTGCAGAGCCTCAGCAAATGGGTTGCTCGCTGCTTGGGTGATGCAGCCAGTCAGCGCCTTCAGCTGTCCTTAGACTGGGGAATTCCTTCCTTCTCCTCAAGACTGATGCCTTTACCTAAATACGTACTCGGTAGAGCCACTCCAGTTTTTGACTGAGCTGTAGTATACTGGAGTTATAATTCTCTCTCTGACTTTGTCTGTCTATAGAACCAGTATGTTCTCTCCAGACAAGACATTTTCATCTTGTTTTTCTGCATTTTCTCCCTTATTGACAGCCATAGGAGGTTTTTCATGCCCTTCGAATTCAGAATGCTGTTGAATTTTGCTTTAATGTAGCCCCTGAAGTTGCTGTCTGCTCTACAACGTTACCTGGGTGGGATCGTGCCCTGGGCACTGTTGTTGTGGTCTGGCTCTCTCGACAGCTCTGAGGAATGTGTGGAATCAGAGCAGGCACAGCTGATTTCTAAATACCCCTTTGGGTGGCTTATGGGCATGGCATTGATACCTGCATGTTACAGTGACTGTTTTGGGAATCCATTACAATTCCTTTGCAAAACCAGAGAGACCTCATGATAAAGATGGAGAGGTAACTCGTAAATGCAGGAGAGCAAGAC